AAACAGATAATAAATAAATAGACTAAACTTGTCAATCAGATAGTGTCAAAAATACTTGATTGATATTGATTGCATATCTAATGTAAAGACTAAAGAATTTCTACAACATGTAGCATCAGCTCGCAAACGAAAACTCACTCAGAAGTAAATAAAAACATTTATCGACTACCTCAACATTGCCCTAGATAATGTGATTTTCCAAAAGTAAACTTTATTAAATTCTAAATAAAGTTCTATAGCAAAAACTTTATAAATCATGTAATTGATGAACAATAATCATATATCATAGCCTTGGATACCCACACGCAATAAACTTTGTATCGCATCAATTGATGGCATTAGAGTCTGCTCAGCCCAACATGAAACTCAGCCCACTCCGGACTTCTTAACACAACATTGAGTGTGGACTTTGTAGTCGACTTTCAGGCGTGCGTCGCATATACCAAACAGGTTAAAAAGAGAGGGAGATGGAAAGAGAGAAAGAGAGAGGAAAGCAGAAGGCATACTAAGTGCTGCTGTTGCTATAACAATTTTAAACATTGTTGAAACGAAAGAGAAAACTGATTAATAAACTATGAATTTAAAGCACAAAATATTAGGCAAGTTAAAGTTCAATTTTGAAGCAGAAGACGTTTAAACTTAAAATAGAAGCCCCTCATATACTCGAAAATTATTTGATGGTTAGAATTCATAGTACAAGCAAATCTGTGCTTTAGTTAGGTGATATTCTTTCACAAAATAATATTTTCCCAAAAGTTATAGGTTTTTATGTTTTTAATTGATTATCCCATACATATCCTAGTTAATACTCTAATATATCATATATTGTTTCAATTTTAGTCCAACCTCATATGCTTGAGCTCGTCCTATACTAGTTTGCTCACACTTACTCTAGCTTATGACATATCATCTATAGATTCTATTTCACGCCCATATCATATGCCCAAGTGTAATTCGTTCTCATTGCTCCTCTTTTTCATCAACTCGTTTTGCTCGTTCTCTTATTTTTGTTGTTTCTTTTTTTTGTCTCTGTTTTTGACCATGTTCTCTAGTTGGCTTTTAGACGTCACCTGTCCTTTGTGCCACATTTTTCTCTACTCCGTTGTGGATGCTTTATTTGTAGTTGTCGTTTTTCAGTCGCATACTACGTGAACCAACTAACAATGTGTCTACGTACTACGTAGTGCCCGCCCCCTCCTGGCCACAGCAGTTCGAGTACAAGTCAGGGCCAAGCGAAGAAGAGCAAAAAAGAATTTCCCGGTCATTCCATCAAAGCGCAAGTCGCGATAAAAAGAAGCGAAGCAAAAACTCTGAACAAAAATTAAAAAAAACAAAGAAAACAGCCAAGGCAAAGGAAAATCTACGCACAAAGTGGCAAACAGCAAAACGAAGAAAAAAAATCCAACTGAAATGGCCACAAAATGAAAACGAATGAACGAGAGTGAGGGAGGGAGAGAGAGCAGGTGAAGGAGTGGGCAGTGTGATGGGGTTAGCAAGAGATAGCGACTGAGAGGCTGCAGAGAATTTTCCCGTTATGAACCAAAAATCGAACTGAAATTTGTGCTGTGTTATTTTTTGCTGCTTCGGCTGCCTACATAACTGTTGTTGTTGCTGTTGTTGTTGTTGATATGCGTGTATGCTATGGCTATCCATTGCGTTGCTACGTTGCGTTTGCGTTTGCTTGCTGCTTGCTGCTTGTTCTCCACGCTCCTTTTTGGGCCTCATGCATTTTCCGTGTTTCGTTTTGTGCGCAAAATAAATTGGTAAACAAGCGAGGCGGCCTGAGGAGGCCTGCATTAGCACGACAAGGACAGTGATCGAATGAACGAATGACAGAGATGGGGCAACAGAGGAGAGCGCTGGCCGAGTGTGAGAGAGAGCTGGCCTGCCTGGTGGTCAATGGCAATACATGGTCATCCGATTCTCGTACATAGCCATTCGCCTGCATTCATGCTCATGCTGTGTATGTGTACATACGTATATGTACATATGTATGTATGTGTGTGAGTTAGTGTGCGTGTGTGTTGTGTTTTCTGTGACGCTGTGCACATTTCATTCTGGCTGCATTTTAGTGCCTGTCCATTGTTTTTGGGTAGTCACCTCCCACTCTGGAATGGCTCTGCCATCGAATTCCCCCCTTCTTCTGGTGTGCTCTTCTTCTTCTTCCCTCTTCTTCTCCTCTGCTCTGCTCGCGACGTTCATGTATTGCATATGGTGCGTCCGTTAGCCGCGTGGGTCACATGCGTTGCGTGGTCGACGCGCCGCTGTCGGCGCTGCTTTTTTGCCTCTCTCGCTGTGCGTTTACCTCTGTCATAGGCGGCACTGCCCGTGCCGCTGTCGCTGTTGCTGTTGCTGCCGCTGCCTGTGCTTCTGTCGCTGTCGCTGCCGCTGCTTTTGCCACGGCTTTTTTCCACGTTGTCGTCGCGTCTCTTCCAACTCGCTGGAAAGCTGCGAGGGACTCAAGCCCCTCTCTTTTTTCACATTTCTATTGTTGTTGCTTTTTGGCTGCTGCATTGGAGGCGCAGTTTTTGCATTGCCATTGTGCACAGTGGTGCAAGGTATGCATGGAATTGAAAAGGGGAAATATTAATAAAAATATATATATATATAATATGATAAAGTAAAACTTTTGTGAGATCGAGTTTAATATTTGTATTTTACTAAAAGTTATAATAATAAATTATTGTATAATACTTAAGTGACTGTATGGATTTTACATTATTATTATTTGAAATTGACATAAATGATTCCGAAGCCAAAAAAAAAAAAAAAAAAGAAATAGCAACTTGAAAATAAGAAATATATTTAAATCTTGTTAAAAATAGGAAAAATACGATATAAATGTTACTTTTAAATTACGCATATGTGGCATTGTCAGAAATTTTATTAATTTTTTTTTTTTATCTCTGTCATTTCAGGTAAGCAACAAATGCCATTTGCTCCAGTGTGCAAGTCCAATCAGTAAAAGCGAACGAAACGCGACGCTGGCGCTGCTGCCATCGCTGCTGCCGCTGCTTTTGCAACTGCCGCAGTCGCTCGTTATGTGTGCCAGGCAAAAGGCCAAACGCATGTGTGTTCAGTCGACCCTGTCAACCAGCCCCACCAGCTGCCCAACTCTCACCGCCGCCGCCTGCGCCTCCCCTACGACATGTTGTGCACTACTGTACATAGGCACGATGAGCGAACGAACGGCATTATAGGGAGAGCAGGCGGGTGCGAGCGAGTGAGCGAATGACGAGCCTATACATAAAATGGCGTTGCATATGAGGAGAAAACCCCAATGCAATTGTGTGAGTGACCATCTCGTTGCGTGCGTATGTACATGCGTGTGAATGCGTGCGTGTATGTGTGTGTGCGTGTGTGTGAGCCTACGCAACGGTAGCTTTTTCATTTTAGCTGCTGCTGCTGCTGCTGCTTCTGTTGCTTCGGCTGCACCTCAAAAGCAAAACGCATTGAATGCGTATCGAGTCCAAGTCGAATGTTGACTGTATTATATTGCCAGAGAGCTTGCTTCAACTCCATCTCGTTTTAGCTAGCGCTCCCCATCTTTGTCTCTCTCTCTCTCCCACTCTCTGTGCATGCACTTAAAAGCTCGTCCAGGCGCTGCAGGCTATAACCAATACACACACACACACACACACACGCACACACATGCAAACATGCAGCAAATTGAATAAACTCCCAAAATCAAATTTTTCACCACTTTTGCTGAACTGACGTGAACGGCAGCTGCTCGCTATACACACACACACACACACACACACACAACAAACTCGCTGCCTGTGTGTGTGTGTGTGTCCATCTTTGCCATTTAAAGGGTCAATGAAATGCAAAGGCTATACCATTTTCTCTCATCCACGTCGCTACGTTGATGTCCATGTCATTGTCCGTGTCCAAGTCGGGGTCCTCGTCCTTCATTGATTGCCCGGCCGTTTTTAGTTTTTGACTGAGCGCCCTGGCAAATCAATTGAAAAACGTATTCTTTGCTCTATGCTAGAACCCAGTTCTGTTCATATTTATTGTGGCATTGCCTCGGCTAGTATTTATTGGCTTTGATTTAGTTGCTAAAATATATTGGACCTTCCTGCTGGTCCGGCCAGAGCTGCGAGCAGCCCAGCTCTTATTGACCAGCAAACATTTCATTTCATGTGCTTGACTGTGATTGGGCTTTACTTTCCATATGTAACGATGTCAATTATGGGCACTTTTTGCAATGCCAGTTGCCAATTGTTTAGAGCAATAAATGGAAGTCAATAGAAACTCTTTTGTTTCTTACTTGCTGAAGTCGTTTGAATCTGTTGCACAATTTCCAAGAGAGATTAAAGTAAATAGAAATATAATCAATATTTAACAATGTTCTGATATATGTATGTAGGTCTATCGATTGGGGCATTTATAGGACTAGGTTTGCTTTTATATACTCTAACCTAGTTGTTTTGTTAAAGTATAAATTTAGCAAAAATTTGATAATGAAGTCTGCTCAAACTAAAAGCAGAATAGACTAAAGTAATTTATCCATAGAGTCTGCTTGAAATATATAAAAACTAGTTATGCTACATACATACATATGTACCTCCGCTAAATTATTGCTGCTCCTCAAAGTATGCAACAAAAATATATTAATTTGATAGCATATCTTTATATATAA